GGAAAACACAGTAAAATAAGAAAAAAAATGAGCAGAGCAACATTGAAAACCTGGGGAAGCTGTGGCCGGTGTGACGTGGGTGCTGTGAGGGTGAGGCCGCCCTGCTCTCCCTGAGGCTGTCCCTCAGGGTTTGGTAGAGATGATGGACTAGAAGGCGGCAGTGGCAAGGACACCTGGGGCTGGTTGGTTTCGTTTGTTTGGTTGTTTGGTGTTTGTTTGAGACAGGGTCTCACTATGTAGTCCTGGCTGACCTAGAACTTGCTACATAGACCAGTCTGGTCTCAAATTCACAGACATTCACCTGCCTCTGCCTCGTGGGTGCTGGGATTAAAGGCATACACCACCACGCCTGGTCTGCTTGGCTTTTGAGACAGGGTCTTGCTATATAACCCAGGCTAGACTCAACTTCCTAATCCTCCCGCCTACATGCCCAGAGTGCAGCCTCCTGGAACCAGTGTGTCCAGCTGGGTTAGGTGGAGAAGTAGAGAACAAAGAGAGAGGTGGAAGTTATGAGCCAAGAGAGAAAAAAAGATGGTTCTGGGTGAAGCAAAATAGAACATTCTGGATTGGGGAGACAATAAACGGTGCCTGACTCATCTTGTGAACGAGTTGAAACCAGATGATGCTTTCAAAGAAGGAGGGGGATTCGAGTGCTAACAAAGCCCAAGTGTGGAGCTGCGGTGCAGCTTGGCACAGAGTGCTTGGGGCTGGGATGCACTTGGTACGGCTTGCCTAGCATGTTTCAGACCTTGGGTTCATCCCAGCACTGCAAAAGAAAGAACAAAAACAGCTGACTAAAAAGGCCCCAAGTGTACAGGTCTCCATTTTAGACCGGAGGGACACGGTGATATAAAGCTTAATAAACCTCTAAAATACTCAGAACACAGGCATAAACTTCAGCCCATAGGTCAGTCCAGTCCACTACCAGGTGGTATAAATTTCTATTAAACACACCTGCAACTTGTTTGCATATAGTCCAGTGCAGGTGTCCAGTGGGGCTTCAGTGGACTGCCTGGTGCAGCTGGTGAAAACCAGTGGGGCTGGTAAGATGAGTCCCAGGAACCCTGGGAAGGCCTCTGTGCTGGCCACACCCTACCTCAGCTCCCTGCAGAGACACCACATCACCGTTTGCCTTTTATTTTTTTCAGGGTTGGGGGCTGAATCCACTGTACGCTAGGCAAGCTCTGTATCATAGTCACAGCACCAGCACCACGTCCCCTTTCAGAGACAGAGGAACTGTGTTAAGACAGGTTTGCCAACAGAAAAACTTTCGTCTGGGTTTGTTTACTTGCCTGCTTGTTTGGGAGACAGGTGCTGATGTATCAGAAGCTGGCCTCCAACACAATTTGAAGTTGAGGATGACTTCGAATTCCTGATCCTACTGCCTCCATCTACTCTTGAGTGCTGAGATTACAGGTACATATACAGCAGTTTATGTAGTACTGAGGATCAAACGAAGACTGGCTAGGCAAGCACTCTATCAAATGAGCCCCAGCCCCAGCCCCAACTGGGAAACATCTTAAAAATGACCAAAAAAATCATAGAAAAGATAGGTGTGTCATTTTAAAACAACGCACCGGACTTGGGTGTTGGCTGTGGCCTGGGTGGGTGTGCCTGTGCCTGGGAGCAGCTTCTGAGCCACAGAGTCTATCTGGAGGAGCAGGGCGGGCCGCATGCACACCAACACAGCTCTTTCTTCAGGAAACTCTGCAGCTCCCACATGTTTGCCGAGTGTGATTCATGGCATTTCGCTCAGATTGTCCGGTGGGTAATTGCTACGCGAAAACCAGAGAAACAGATGTAGACCCTGAACCCTGGCTGTAAATTCCTGTTTTATGATTATGGGTTTCAAATGTGCTGTGTCACACTGACAAACACCCAGTGACTCTCAAGCGCAATGGATTTTGCTCTCAAACTTTGGCTTTTTGGTTTTTGGTTTTTACTTGATTGTTTACTGGGAAAAACTTTTATTAGACCATTGATTGATCAAACACAAGGAAAATAGAAGAGATGACACATGTTGGAATTTTTTTCCCTCTAAAGGAATAATTGGGAAGATAACTTCCAAGTATTTAAGTCATATTTGAAGTAGGTATCAGTCATTTAAACTTCATTATGAACAAATTAAGTAGCTCATCTTTTACTTTCTATGCTATTCATTAATCATTATAGCACATGGTTATATATTTAAAGAATTGCCACTTATTTGTGGGTCTTAAAAGGAAGTGTTCAGAGGAAGAATTGAGTTTTCAAAAAGTATAACAATTAGGTTTACTGACAAAGAGATGCTAAGAAATGTGGCTGACTTACGAGTTCATTTTGTAAATTAATACTTAGATTAAGTAATAGCCTAATCCTTGCTACCAGCATAATTAATACATGGTGAGAAGTGATTAATTGACTGGTGAATCCCACTGCATTATACAGAGCCCATAATATTCCATCCACTAGGATTTAAATATCATTGGTTTCAAAGCTCACATTTATTTCTCTGAAGTTAAAAAACCATCAACGTCATTAGAAATCGAAATTTTTCTTGCACAAAGAAAGAAATCCCCCAGTCTCCTAGACAGACAGACAGACAGACAGACAGACACACACACACACACACACACACACACACACACAGAATGAGAGCGAGAGCAGGAGGGGGGTGCAATAAATAGTACAGGACTGGGAAAGACATTTGGGAGCAGATCCTCCTTTCCTAGATGGGACTGACTCTCTGACTTACGGACTGGCAATGGACAGAATTTGGGGGTCCATTCCACAGAGCCCCGCCTCACTTCCTGTGACCAGCACCTCCAGGGCAGGCACCAGATGTGCGCTTCCAGGGACTGAGCTTTCTCACCTCTTAATTCCGTGTTTCACAGATGCCTCTCCCCTCAGTCCACACCTCTTCCTCCACCTTCAGTACCGGGTGTGAATGACTCAGTTTCCAGGGAACCCGGGGTCCTTAAGGAGGCATTTGGGGTTTTACGTCTTGCAGACCAAGCAGAAATTAATGTATTGTTTTCTGTGACTTTACAGCTGCTCAATGGCAGTGTGTTACATGTTTGTTTTGTAAATTCCTATGTGCTCCCTCACTTAGGATGTGTTTTCTTTGTAGTTAAAGGCTTTCTAATAATAAGTCGGTTATAAAATGAATGGCCACATAATAGAGGGAAAAAAAACCACAAATTCAGTGAAATCTCACCCCCTACCACCCTGAACATTTCAGCGTTGAGAACTGAGCTTGCTGGGCTTCAGTTGTTGCTGTTGTTTTGTTTTTGTTGTTAAGACAGGGTCCCGCTGTATAGCTCTGGCTGACCTAGACCTCCCTATGTAGACCAGGCAGGCCTTCAACCCAGAGACCCGCCTGCTTCTGCCTCTGGAGTGCTGGGATTAAGGGCGTGCACCACGATGCCAGGATTTCAGCTGCCATCTTGAGGTACCTCCTTAGGAGACGCTACCTCCGGGAGGGTGTGTGGTTTATGCCACACAGCAGCTGCTAGACGGAGCAGCATCTCAGAAAGGGTGGGCACCCCTGGCAGGGTTTCCTGGAGGCCAGTGTGCAGTCTGGTACTGCCCAGAAGGGGGACTGAAGCCCAGATTTCTCTGCCCTGGGCATGGGGGCTCTCTCTCCCTGCCTACCTCCTTACTAGGGAGGTAGAGAAGACAGGAGGGGCCTGAGCTCCTTTCAGTACCCTCTAAGCTGACTGCAATCCCCCTTCAGGTGGCTTCCTTTGAAAGCCTGGTCTGCCTGGGTGTATTTGTACAAAGTGTCTCCAAGTTTTGACATGACCAGAAAGCTGCTCAGTCCTCTGGGCTGAGTCCCCATGAGAGGTTATAAAAAGAAATCAACTTATCTGAAAATTGTTTTTAAAAACAGGCAAGATTGGACAGGGCTGGTATGAGTAAAGCCTTCAGAAATATAAAACCCTCATCCCTACTCAGTTTTCAAAAGATGTATTTAATTATGTGCCCAGCATGTGCACGGTGCAGGGGCCCCCTCCCAGCTGGGTGGTGGCTGTGGGAACAGGGAGCCATTCAGGTTGGATTGGGGACCCAGGGAGCTGGGGTCTGGCCATCACTGAGCCACACGGTCTCGGCAGAGCTGAGCCTTCCCGTAGAGGTTCAGAGGCTCAGTCTCAGCTGACATCTCTTTTGTGTGTTCATACTGAGGACTCAGGTCGTGTTTCAGTCCTGTGAATGGTATTTCAGGTCCATTGGACAGATGAGAAAAATGAGTCAGACAAATTCAGTACTTTCTGAGAAACACAGCTGGCCAGGGGCAGAAACAAAATTGGAACCTAGCTCTCAATATCACTCCCAATCCACGCTGACCGCTGTGTTTTCTCCAGCCAGAAATCTCATGACAGAGAGGGAGAGTGGACGACAGGGAGAGGGAGGGGGCCGCTAACTGGTAACTAATTTGTAGCTGCTCGGGTGCTTTGGCCTGCAGGGGATTTTTAAGTCTAAGTGGGACCCGGAAGGTGCTTTGGGGGGGGCTGGAATCAGGGAGACCCCTCAGCTAAGTGCGTGCAAGAAGGAGAAAGAAGAAATAAATAAAACACAAGGCCACAACGGAAAGTTTCTCAGCCTGGGGCTTCTTCCTAGAGGTTGGCAGGTCCCGGGACTGCAGTCGGGGCTAGCCCGGTGCATCCGCGGGGGCGCGGGCTCTCCGGGTCTGCAGTCGGGGCTAGCCCGGTGCATCCGCGGGGGCGCGGGCTCTCCGGGTCTGCAGTCGGGGCTAGCCCGGTGCATCCGCGGGGGCGCGGGCTCTCCGGGTCTGCAGTCGGGGCTAGCCCGGTGCATCCACAGAGGCGCGGGCTCTCGGCAGCAGGGACCGGGCGGGAGGATCTCCCAGGCCGGCAGGGGCGAGGGTCTAGCCCAGAGCGGAGCCAGGCGTGGCGCAGGGCGCGGCCCGCATTGTGTGCCGGAGCCGCGGGGAGCCGAGCCTGGGCCGGCCGCTCTCCGCTGGCTCCGGCAGGGCTGCTGGGAGTTTTTAAGCGCTGCGAGGATCCTGGGAGTTGGTGATGTCAGACGGTTGGGTCATTTGAAGGTTAGCAGCCCGGGAAGGGTTCACCGAAAGTTCACTCGCATATATTAGGCAATTCAATCTTTCATTCCGGGTGACAGAAGTGGTAGGAAGTGAGCCGCTCGGAGGCAGGAGGGTCTATTCTCTGCCAAAGGGGGGACCAGAGCCCCCCCGCGCCGCCGCCGCCGCCCGGGGATGCCGAGGACGCGCGCCACCCGCGCAGGGCGCATCTGGGCACCGGCGGGGTAGCAGCCGCGCGCTCCCCGGGGCCTGAGCCGCCCGCGCCCGGAGCGCAGCAGTCGGGGGAGCGGCGGGAACCCCCGCCCGGCTGGATCGGCCGAGCGAGCCTGGAAGATGGTAAATGATCATTTGGATCAATTACAGGCTTTTAGCTGGCTTGTCTGTCATAATTCATGATTCGGGGCTGGGAAAAAGACCAACAGCCTCCGTGCCAAAAAAGGGGCAGAGTTTGATGGAGTTGCTGGACTTTTCCGAGCCGCTCGCCTCCGCACCCACAGGATAGGCAGTCGGGCAGCGCGCGCCGAGATCATGTTTGACTGCATGGATGTGCTGTCCGTGAGTCCCGGGCAGATCCTGGATTTCTACACGGCGAGTCCGTCCTCCTGCATGCTGCGGGAAAAGGCTCTCAAAGCCTGCCTCAGCGGATTCTCCCAGGCCGAATGGCAGCACCGGCACACCGCTCAATGTAGGTTTATTTTTTTTCCTTTCTTCTACCGAGAAAAAAAAAAAATTTTTCTCTCTTGCATGCAATAAAGACGTCGGAAGAAAAGTGCGTTGGAACCAAGACAAAGGGTTTAATGATTTAATGCTGGTGGGGTGTCATGGACTGGCATGCTATGAATTCCATTTCTTTCTGCCCCAGTAACCCCTCGGGCGCCCAGGTTTCCCCTTTGCCGCCCTGTTCTCCCTTGGAAACGGTGTTTCAGGTGTGCATGGAGGGAAGGGGACTTTGAAGCACGCTTCCAGTGGGGCAGCTTGACACACCGTGCAGTTGTGACTGTGAGCGGGCGGCACAGGGTTTAACTTTGCTGTGCACCCGCCTTGTGTGTTTGAGCAGTACAAAGTAATTAAGTAGCCCATCTTCCTGGCAAGGAGGGCCAGCTCCTGAAGAAGGTGGCTGCTGGGCGGCTCGCACTCCCCTCCCGAGGAAGGCAATGTGTCTTCCGCTGACCCGGCTGCCACTTTGTTGGTCTAAGAAGTTGCTGTTTTGCTAGGAGCCGCTGGCCACCAACACCCCTCGGGTTGACCATCCATTATTTTCATATCTTGCAATTCAGCCAGGAGCCCGGATTTTAAGTTGAAGGAGAAGAAATCTAAGCCGGGGAGCCTCGTTTTTAAAAACAATATTGACTGTTTGGTTATCTGATGCTGACAGGGTAGAAGGCTCCATCGGTCAACAGTAGCTCGGCCACAGGCCTGAGAAATGGCCAGGAGTCCCGGGAAGTCCCACCTTGGGGCAGCGGTGGGGGCCTACAGGATGCTTGGCCACTCTGACAGTGATTTAGATAAATGGCCCAGCTATCTATCAAAATGTTTTTAGTACTTGATTTGACAATTCATTGGAGCATTAGCCTGAAAATGACATTTTAAATCTTTGTTTTCAAAGAGGTCAAAGTTTAACTGGAAGACATTGACTTTTCCTAATAACAGGGTGGCTTATCTGGGGGTGGGGGGGCCTTTCGGGTGCGCTTTGTGAAACTTTTGCTTCGGAATAAAAGTCTTGCTTCTTGGGCCAGAAAATCAACAGGTTTGAGGCTGAAAAATCAATAATCATTTGATGCCAACAGACTGGCTTGTCAGACAGCACTCACAGAGCCACCAGCAGCCACAGAACATAGTTTCCAGAAAGCGGCCCTAGCCGCTGCCCTTTTCTGTTTGGTTTTTTTCTGTTTGCTTTTTCTGTTTGGTTGCTCATTTTCTTTTGGGAGACGGAAAAAAAAAATACCAGAGTGTTGCAAAATCATTTTCCAATGCACTAACAACCTGCGGATTTCTCCTTTCCTTAGCAATTAACAGTGTGAACCTTGCAATTGGAATCCCAGGGAACTCGGGCACTGTGAAACTGACTTGTTAGGGAAGAGTGCAGTGAGATACTATTTCGCTAGGGCAAGAATGGCTCGGGATCGTCTTGGGAAGCTGTTGGATGGAGCAGAGGTTTCACCTGGAGAAATTCTCCCTTTTGTAACTGGCCTTCCAAACAAGTCTATTGGGTTGCAGGAGTGGAGGGAAAAGCTTTGTTTGTTCTTGAACAAGTTAAACAAGGGATTTGCTTTATCTAGGTAGAGCTGCTGGTGACTGTGTCACTGGCCCAGGGCAAGCCGATAAGCAAGAAGTGTTGATAACAGCCTGGGTTAGCTAACCAAAGAGACTTGCATTAGACAGAGTAAATAAGGCCTTTGACAAAGGGATTTCAGAAATTCCAGTGTCTTATTTTTGTAAGCAGGGTAATTTGTGCTCCTAGTGGTCAGTTTCACCAGAGTTTCAACCCCATACCCCAACTTTGTGCTAAATGAGTGAAATGTCAATATTGCCTGTGCCCGGCAGAGTTGCTCTGTCCTCCACAAACCGCTTTATGACCAGACTCTTCAGTTGATTCAGGGATTAAGTTTTTAAGGATAAACAAAACTAAAACAATTCTTTGCCTTAAAGATTCGAACAAATGTCTGTGCCGCTTGGCGGTTGGGCTTTTGAAATGAAAACCTTTGAGGGCTACGTCTGCCTAAGACCTTAGAGCCCACAGACGTTTTCCATTTTACTTAATGGCTGTTTTGAAGAGAAGCAGATCAGCTTTTGCTCTTCACACAGGAAACAGTGGGCAAGGAGAAAAAGCTGGTACAAATTCCTCTGAAACTATTTTCAGCCTTGTGAGGCTACTTAGTTTTTCATGGGTGGGTGGGTGTGTGTGTGTGTGTGTGTGTGTGTGTGTGTAAAACCTTTGAACTATCTCAGAACCTCACTTTGAAAAGTGTTAGAATATTCACTGTATTTTCTTTTTAATTTTAAAGACAGAAAAATGATATGCCAACCAGCTGTCGGTTGTAGCTGGGTCTGTGAACTGTTTGCAGTAAACACTGGAAATCAGGATTAGGGGCTACTAAGGGAATGTGGTATAAATATCAGAATGAAGGGCAGAGGACCCTGGAAGTCAGCCATCCACCACTTGGGGTCTGTTCAGATGTCTCCCAGATTCTCCTGGTTTTAGGTAACTCCAGATGTTTTCTGCATTAATTGTTCCATGAGCACAGAATCATCTTAATATTTTGTGGTCTAAATATGTTGCTTTTGGTGAAATAAGGAGTGTATCAATTTCTTGGCCCACTTCCCTGTTTTCTCCACTCAACACATCAAAAAAAAAGGGGGGGGGAAATGTTTTCTTTTTGAAATAGGGTTTTGCTCATTAATGAGAAGAAATTATTTTTAAAACAGCTAGCGGTGATGTGTGATTAAGGAACAAGAAAAGTCCCCTTCTTAAAACCTTAGCTAAGACCTGAATTTTAAGTATATGCACAGTGTCCTCTCCTAGTGAGATATAACTTGGGGTCAAAGTGGCAGAATTCAAGTTGCCCTCTGAAAGACAGACTAAATAAAGACTGACAGCCACCGTATGAATTGAGTGGCATTTTGAATAAATATTTCAGTGAAAAGGCCCAATTGTTTTTCTAAAGTAGGACATAATTTTCTGCTTCTCAGTCACATGACCTGGGAAGCAACACCATTAGAGAGAAGAAAGGGGACATTTGCTTAAATCTCAGAGTGCAGAACAGGGTCATTCTTAAAAACAAGGGGGAAAAAAATCAGTTTTCCTTCCCAGTAGAAAATAAGAGAAATATTAATATACTGTCAATTTCCAGCTAAATGAGTATGTTTGGCAAATCAGGAGAAAAACAACAAAAAAAATGCAGGGGTTAAAATTTTATCACCAGAAAAGGGTGAATTCCAAAAAGCAAGATGAAAGATCGGGAGAGGCAGGCTGTGATCTGCTTACTCTGAAGCTGTTAATTTGGAATTAATTCCGCAGCTACAGTTCGAATTTGACTCTCCAGCAGGACCAGAAAGCTGTGCCATTGGATCTGATCTTTTTTCCTTAATACATAGGAAACGGACCACAGTGTCTTTTTGTGATATTATCTGACTAGAATCAGATGCTTCCTTCTCATTTTGGAGCACACAGAACCAGCCAGGACCATCATGGTTTGGGTTTTTTGTTTTGTTTTCGCTTTGTTTTTTTTTTGTTGTTGTTTTTCCTCTTTTTTTTTTTTTTAACAAAAAACAGAATAAAATGTTCTTTGGATTTCAGATACATAATTTTTACAGTCAACATACGTTAAAACACAAAAATGGTTGAAAAAGAAAGAAAACCTTACCCTTTCCTCCTTTACACGTCCCACAAGCATCATTAAATTCTGACCCACAGAGGAAATCCATGATAAAGAACAAAGATTATCAATTCTCTCTTAGGTAACTTAGAGTTCTCTGAATAAAAAAGTTTTTAGAGGAAGAAAGACTACAGGGGTTAATTGGGAAGCTAGTGTCTGGGGGTAGATGTAAAGCCCAGAACAAATATGAGTGTCTTTTCCAGGCTGCTGAGGACTTTAGCTGTAAGTGTGGTGTTCTTGAAAAGAATTTTCTGTGGAGTTTGAGCTACATGTAAGTGCCAATAAATTCCTCCTTAAATGGCATTTTTATACTTTAAATGTTCTCATATAAATTCAGTTAACTATCAATTAAATAGATTATTTCAGAGATGAGAGTTTTCCATGAAGGTTAATCAGAAAAATGTTGGCTGGAAACCTTTTCAAAGATATTAACGTTGAATCTTGCCTTTCAAATTACAGGGCAGTTATGGTGATCGTATATCTCTGAGTTTCTAGAATAACTCACTTTCAAATGTACTGCCACCACCGTTCCCATGTCAGTCACTGAAATATGCCAGCTACCTCATCATTACAACCTCTCCAGGGCTGCCCCTTGAACCCAGATGTGGCACAGGCTTTGGATTCCATACTCAGTATAACCAGGAACCTCACGACTTTATTTTCCCATTATGACTGAGGATTGCCTGGTGTTTCTGGATCGTTCTTCTGAACATGAATTCCTTTTGTAGCCAATTGCAGATCTGTAACTGGAAGGCCAGCCCTGCAGACTGCCCAGGCTCTGCTTCCCGCTGCAGCATGTGGACTGGGCTGGGCTGGGGGGAAGGACATGACATCTAGTTGAATGATTGTGAGCAAATCTGTGCCAGCCCTTCACCAGCTTCTTAAAATTTCGGATTGGAGGTGCTGGAGGAGGGAAGGCAGTCGCCAGGGCGTTCAGACTGATCGGGATCCTGTCTGTAAGTGACTTGACCTGAGTAGCTCTGGCTCTATAGGAAGTGTGATGACCTGCCAGGTACAAGAGAGCAAGCCTGGGCTACCACCGCATTTGTCAGTCTGGTGCCCTGAACTCTCCCCTTTCTGTTCTTGGCTTCCTGACCTCATCATTAAGAAGCAAGATCCAGATCCCAACTCAGCCCAAATCCCTTTAAATAAAGGAAAAATACGTTCCAAGATTCTGTCTGCTAGTATCAAGAGAGGCGAGCCTCTGTTTGTCCCGGTTCAGGCTTAGAACTGCTGACGTGCTTGCTCTCTGGCCTTATAGGGTGGGGAGCTGCAAGTGGGCTGGGGGGCTAAGATAAGAGTAGGACCT